ACCGTCCAGCCAGAGACCGTCCAGCCAGAGACCGTCCAGCCAGAGACCGTCCACTCAGAGTTTCGTTCCAGCACAGAACCAGCCCCAGGGGTTCCTCGCTTCCCTGTTGTTCAGCCTGAGACTCTCGTGTGGCCCCGAGCCCAAGCTGGTTTCTAACAGTAGGGACTTGGGGGCAAAACTGGCGGATCCGGCGCTCCAATCCGTGCGATCAGCGTTATTAGAATCAGTTTTCCCTCTCCGATCTTCAGTCCCAGGTCTTACTTCCACATCCAGCCCAGAGTTTCCTTCGCCGCTGGTTCCGTCCAGCCCAGCCAAGCCCTCACCGCTGGTTCCGTCCAGCCCAGCCAAGCCCGCACCGCTGGTTCCGTCCAGCCAATCCGAGCCCGTCGCCTGCCCGCCAGAGCCTGAGCCCGTCGCCTGCCCGCCAGAGCCTGAGCCCGTCGCCTGCCCGCCAGAGCCTGAGCCCGTCGCCTGCCCGCCAGAGCCTGAGCCCGTCGCCTGCCCGCCAGAGCCTGAGCCCGTCGCCTGCCCGCCAGAGCCTGAGCCCGTCGCCTGCCCGCCAGAGCCTGAGCCCGTCGCCTGCCCGCCAGAGCCTGAGCCCGTCGCCTGCCCGCCAGAGCCTGAGCCCGTCGCCTGCCCGCCAGAGCCCGCTGATCCTGCGCCAGAGCCCGCTGATCCTGCGCCAGAGCCCGCTGATCCTGCGCCAGAGCCCGCTGATCCTGCGCCAGAGCCCGCTGATCCTGCGCCAGAGCCCGCTGATCCTGCGCCAGAGCCCGCTGATCCTGCGCCAGAGCCCGCTGATCCTGCGCCAGAGCCCTTTCCTGCACCCAAGCCCACTGATCCTGCGCCAGTCCTGTCCAGCCCAGAGTTTCCTTTGCCGCTGGTCCTGCTTAGTTCAAAGTCCTCTTCACTGCTGGTCCTGCCCAGCCCAAGACCCTCTTTGCTGCCGGATCCCCCCTTTCCTGTCAATTTTCCCATTAAAATTTTGGGGGGGCGCCCACCCGAAGGGTCTTCACCACCGTGGCCGCCTGAAGGGTCTTCACCACCGTGGCCGCCTGAAGGGTCTTCACCACCGTGGCCGCCTGAAGGGTCTTCACCACCGTGGCCGCCTGAAGGGTCTTCACCACCGTGGCCGCCAAAGGGTCCGACAGCTCCGCCGTGGCCACGCCCACATCCAGCTCCGCCCTGGACGCCCGAGGGTCCGACAGCTCCGCCCTGGACGCCCGAGGGTCCGACAGCTCCGCCCTGGACGCCCGAGGGTCCGACAGCTCCGCCGTGGCCACGCCCACAGCCCGCTCCGCCATGGCCACGTCCACAGCCGGTTCCACCCCGGTTCCCCAAGCTACCAGCTCCGCCCTGGAGGCTTCCCGTCCCTGCATCACCATGCCCTCGTCAGCCTCCAGGGCGCCCACCCTCCCACCCCTTTGGATGTTATACGGCGCGAGGACGCGCCTTCGGAGAGGGGGGGGTTCTGTCACGGTTCACCGTCTATCTTTGCACTACATTTCCCAGAATCCTCTTTGGCGCACCTGCAATCACTCTCCCCGGATTACCAATCACCTGCACCTGTTCACAATCAACAGCCCCATCAACCTCTGCATATAAACACTCACCACAGCCTCAGTCATGGTCAAGCCTCCAACAGGAACAGACCATTACCCCAGTTGCACCAGTTCTCTTATGCTGTCAACACCCGACAAGTAAAGTATACTCACCTGTGGATTACTAACCTCTGTGTCCTTGTTCCGATGTTTCCAGAATCCTTGCTTGAACCCGTGTATCCTGAGAACTAGTATTCCTCCTGAGTTCAACCTGCTCGTGGCTTCATCTATAAGAGAAAAGACAAGTATCACTGAACTGTGTTGTTTGACATTGGATAATCTGAAGAGGATCTACTCACCTGGAATCCTTCTCGCACCGTAATCTTCACCGAATTCTCCCTTGAACTCTGAAAGACTCACCATTGCACTTTATTCTAATTAATAAAGCTTTATGTTCATTCACTTACCTCTGTCTCCGAGCCTGTATCCTGACAAATATTACTCAGTACTTAAAAGTACAATTACCATAACAAGGACACCGTATAATAAAATAAAGTGTTACCATAGCCGACTTTTATTTTCTGTGAAGCTGTTTTTAAACAATCTGTATAAATAAATGTGAACTGTGATTGAGCTTAACTTGTATTAAACAGAATCCCTAGTCATATCTTTTGCTACGTGACTGGAGATCTGTCATTATACAGAATATGTCATTATTTCGTGCGTGCGTGTGTGTGTGTGTGTGTCGTGGTTGTGTGTCTCTCAGTAGGGGGTCCTCTGTGTTCGGCTTCATCCTGAGAGAAGTGTGCTCGACTGCAGTCCACACTGTACGCCGCGGGCTGCAACCTGAGAGATGTGTGCTCGGTGCACTAGTTCCTCCAGTCGCAGAAGCTTGGACTTCATCAACAACACACCAAAACGAAATAAACGGACAACCTCGACATATACACAACCACATCACAGCCATGTGTGAGTGTATCAACAGATGTCTGAATCGAAGCCTCTTCACAGACTCTATACGAACTCCCTCAGAAATATTCTCCGTGTTAGACGATGTGAATCATTTCTGCCTGATCACCCCTCCTGCACTGTGTACATCTGCCCACAATACTGTCTGTGTAGATTAAGCGAGGCAATGCTTCACCCCCTTTAGAAGAAAATGGTGCAAAAGCTGTCACTGGGATGGTACCCTTTATAATATGTACACTTTTGGTACCAATATGTACCTTTGAGGTACTAATATGCACTCTTCAGGTACAAAGGTGTACCTTTCGAAAGAATAGCGCCCCAGTGACAGCTTTTGTACCTTTTTTTTCTGAGAGTTTTATGGTAAAAAAAGACAATCCTTTTGCTTGATTTTTAGCTTGAAAATGATTATAACTGATCCAGGACTGTCCATGCTTAGCAGACATCCTTATACAGGACATCAGCAAATGCATATTTCTAATAGCAAATGTATTTTTATGCTATGGGACTGGATCTATTTAGCACCAGAGTGTTATGTAATTACCTTGGGACTGGTTTGTGAAAGTGAAGGTGAGAATGAGGCAGATAATAGTATCTTATTCTCAGTGGAATAAAGTGGCCTTTCGATCCGCAGCTCGAGCTCATGTCTAACTCACTCTTATTTTGTAAGGTCTGCAAGTCTGCAATAAAACCAATGCCACAAAACTGCTGTTCTCTCCAATGTGCTTTTTTCCTGTTTCAGAGGAGACACAAGGGCCACATGTGGGTGTATTTTCTGATTATTGCGTTATATATTATTATATGTGTTATTGAAAAAGACTGGATGAATATCTCGTCTTTAAGCCACATTTTACCCCAAAATCAAAAGAAGAAAAAAAACTACATTAACTTATTTTTTGCTCAAAGATAACGAAAGATTTATTAATTTGTGGGTTTCTTTGCACACATACACAAGTGATGAAAAGGATTTACCATTTATTAACTGTAAATAAATTAACAATCTGTACATGAAAGCTGAGCCGAGCCATTTAGAGTATGAATAACACTTTAAAGGAAATGAGAACAGTCAACATCTTTTACTGAGTCAATATTATTTAGAGCTGAGCTGACACGTATGTGTTATATTGACCAGTAGATTTACCAAACATTTAACTTTAACACAACAACGCTTAGTTTCCTTCAGGCACAGATAAAAATAGATATTATGAATGGGACCATGATCGGCCAAACAAAATCTTACTGAAAGCTTTTTTTTTTTTTTTTTTTTAGATATCATTCTGTTTAGATTTATGGCTTTGATTTTCTCACAGTTTTAGAGTAAAATGTGTTTTGGAAAATATATATTTCATATAAAAATTGTGCAGTTTTCATCACAATAAATGTACATTTTAAAAAAACTTTTTTCAAGTTCACTTTTTAAACCTTTTTTTCACTTCAGCAATAATCTGCCAAGTGTCTTCTTTAAAAAGAGATCGAACTTAATAAACCCCAAAGCATTCAAGATTTATGACAGCTTAAGTTGGAAATTTCATTTTCAAGTCCATGCTCAAAAAGTGAATAATGGATTATAACTACTGCATAAATATAATTTAGTACCATGAAATCCCTTAAAAATACAAAATATTAAATAAAAATCATTACCGAACTAAAATATAGTACAATCATTTAATTGAAATACAAAAAAAATAATTAAAAAATCTGTCATTTTGTATTGTACATCCAAAATATGTTATTTGTTTATACATTGAGTTCTGACACCATTAAAGACGTTGTAATAGTCTATATAGCTAATATAGTCATGGTTTTCTCCAGAGATAGATATATAAATTAACTAAATTAATAACTTTTTACAACAAAAATGAACCATCACTGAACTAACTTAAACTGGACTATGATGACGCTATTTTTTTTACAACAAACTATGTTGCATTATTTTCCTGTTATCTCTGTAAAGCTGTTTTGAAACAATCTGTATTATAAAAAGCGCTATATAAATAAAGGTGACCTGACTTGACTAGTCAGTATCAATCTACTAATGCCTAAATAATAAGTTTCTTGGCAACAGCAACATATGTGTTAGGCTAATGAATTGTATTGCTTGGCAGATTAAATTATTTATTTGGTGCATTGTTAATATTAATTATTTATTTTTCATTAATTGAGCACTAGTGTATTTTACCTCATAACTATCGGTGTCGTTTTATAAAAAAATATTAGATTTGAATAAATTAATTTTCAATGAGAGAGGCGGGGATTTAAAAAAAAGTTTTTCTATCCAAAAGAAAAAGGCCAATAGTAAATAAAGCAATAAGGCCATTAATACGGCCATTACAATATTTAACCAAAATCAATCTACAGTGTTCTCCTTCCCCTGGTTAATCTCTGCTCAGCACAAACTCCAGCGGATTGTTGTCACTGGCTGTAGTGGGGAGGGAGGAGACATAGTTGTAATTCCCCGCCCCTCTCATGAATAATTAAATAGATACAAATCTAATAGTTAGCTCCCTTGTCCGATCTAAGGATGTTTTTATTTTAATAGTTTCTTCGTGCAGTGATCACAAATTCAAAGCGCTGCAGAGATAAAGCGATGTTTTAACTTATTAACAGACATAAAATCCGATCCTCTCGCTTCCTCTGGGGAAATGTGCGTGTGAGTGGGTGTGTCGAGAGAGTTTAAACTTTATGATGAGTTAAAGTTTGATCATGGCCGTGTGGACCCGCGCGGAGAAACAGGGTCATCTGGACCTGCTCCTGAGTGACCGCTGGGTCCGGGTCTCCGCGGAACTCACACGGGACACTCTCACACTGACGGCGGAGGGCGAACCGGGCGGGCCCGCGGGATATTCGGAGCACAACTCGCATTTAAGAAACGGCGTTTCCAATGGCAACGAACAGAACCGAGATGTTTTTCAGAGCCGCGGGCAATACGACAGCCCTGGTCGGTTCAACGGGACCGGTTCAGACTCAGAGTCCAGCGGTTACTGTGACCAGGCGGGGCCGGAGGGGGTTCGGAGGGTTCGGATAGTCAAGCAGGAGTCCGGCGGACTGGGGATCAGTATTAAAGGGGGTCGGGAGAACCGCATGCCCATCCTCATATCAAAGATCTTCCCCGGTTTAGCGGCGGATCAGAGTCGAGCCCTGCGCGTCGGCGACGCGATCCTGTCCGTCAACGGCAGCGACCTCCGCGACGCCACGCACGACGCGGCGGTGCAGGCGCTGAAGAAGGCCGGGAAGGAGGTGACGCTGGAGGGTAAGACGATCACTCGAGCCGCGGGGCTTCAGCAGGGCCGCACGAAGCGTCTGATAATGAGTGCCTAAACACAGTTGATCATTAGTTTAGGCATTATTTTGAGTTCAAACTGTTTTCAACTAGTAAACAGTGGTTAATTTTACTATTTTAAAAGAAAGATAATTCAGGTTGATAAGAGGTCCGAGTTACATTAACATTTGAAAATCACTCGCAGAAGTTTTGAAACTTATACAGAAGTACATGACTATGTCTTTTATGGTATTAAGCAGATAATCTATCTTGCTCCAATAGCAGATGATTATTAATGTTATTGTTTGCCCAAACATCCGGTGGGAATGGGATATAGAGAGAGGGAGATTGACAGTTGTACTTTGTACTTGGCTATCAAGCTAATCTTTTGTGTGAAGACATCTCTGTTTAAAGATTGTCATCATTTTTAATGTCTACAATTCCTATTTTTTTTATAGAATGCTGCAGTAGGCCTATTTATTATCAATTATTTCTCCGTGCACACATTTAATTTATTTTGTAATAAATGTGTCCTTGTTATCTTTAATCAAAACCAATTACATTAATTTAGTTTGCAACACCCACTTTCTACAATCCAATCGATTCTCAATGGACAAAATCAAGTTCACCCTACTTCATGCTTTTTATTGTTGTTGTTTGTTGATGGAAACATGGCTATTGACACCGATATAACAAATCGATTTGATTTCAAATCACAAGCTCTTGATTTCATTTTGATTTGTTTGGTTGTATATATGGTACAGCACATGTTAGTTTTTCATTAGTCTCTTAAAGAATTTTGTAAATATGCATATATGCATAACTCATTCCAAATCAAATAGACCACCACCAGTGCAACACAGAGATCTGGAGACTGACGGTGAAATATGTGGAACAGGTCCGCATGAGATGGGCTCTGCTCACAGTCACACATACATTATCCTCTGTGGGACTGGCCTAATTAAAATCTGAATTATATTTGATGGTCCTGGTGGATCTAATGAGATCTTAAAATGGCTTAGAAATGATCCAATGATGCTGCACGATACCAGTACTGGAATATTCCATCGAAAAACTGAAAAAGATATGCATTTAGGGGCGGCAGTGGTTCATGTAGGTTGTCTACAAACCGGAAGGTTGGTGGTTCACTCCCCGGTTCCACCTGAACAAGTGTCGAGGTGTCCATGAGCAAGACACCTAACCCCAGCTGCTCCCGACGAGCTGGATGGCGGCTTGCATGGCTGACACCGCCGTCGGTGTATGAATGAGTGTATGAATGGGTGAATGTGAGGCCAAATGTAAAGCGCTTTGGTGGCCATTGGGTCTGTGAAAGCGCTATATAAATGCAGTCCATTTACCATTTACAACATCGAGATGCTGTGTGACATTATTACACTGAGGTGAATCAGCAATGAGTGATTAATTCAGCTATGATTAGTGAGAAGGTGAGAGCTTTCAGAAGGAACAGGATACTGGCACTGACTATAATTCTGGAATTAAGAGAAATATATCCAGCGATAATTAGCAGCTTTCAATAAAAACATAACCCAGGACCATGCTTGGGTGAAATGTTGGTAGTTCAAGAATCAGTCTTCTAGTTTGAACCCACAACCTTTGGGTTATTGACCGAATTGGTCGCAAATAGGTGTTGTTGCTGCTAGATTTAAAAAAAAAAAATATTGGAGGGGTTTTAATCTGACCATAGGGTTTGAATTTTTTTTTTTTTTTAAACAATTGTGAAGTAGCTTTTTTGCTGCTTAAAAATGATAATTTTTCAGGGAATGTAACGCTCATGTTGCCAAAAATTGGTCATTATTATTAAAAGTAAATGGCTTTGCCAGTGCAAATTGCTGTCAGTCAGTGTGAGTGCACATCAGAGGGATATAGTCCACCCAAAATACATGAAAATCATTTACTCACACTCATGCTCGACTTACTTTCTTCCGGAGAACACAAATGAAGAAATTGGGATAATGTTTCCATCTACGAAACACCAGACTGTTGATGTTTGAGAAAGCACAGCCACCCTCATTCTTGCCCTGCAAATACTTGCACGCGTTCATCTATCCAAACTGAATTCCTCAAATGTCTTTGGCCCAGCCAAGTGTTTTTCTGCTCAAGCATCATTAAGAAACTATGTTCGTGTGTGTGTCTGTGTTTTTTCTTCATACAGTCCTGTATGTTCAAACTTCTGTAACAATTAGCTATATGCTTTAGCTTTCCAAACATTTAAATATAATGTAAGAATTCAAGTATTTTATGTCGGTCATTGATTTTAATGTGGCTTTTGGATCTTAAAGATGTTAAGCTTTCCAATGCATGCATGCAAACACACAAACACACATCATAAAAAGTAACTACTGTACATTCCACAAAAAGAAGCGAAGTAAAGCAGTTTTTAGGGAGTAATGCAATATTGTAACACATACAATTTAATAGTTGCATACCCCAACACTAGGGGTGTAACAGTACACAGAAGTCACGGTTCCGTACGTTCTTTGGTTTTGGAGTCAAAGTTCAATACGAGTTCGGTCCAACAGGAAAAAGCAACAAATCCGCAATGCTAGGTTTCTTTTCACTTATTTTGCACAGACAGTAGTGCACATTACAGTTTGTTCCACCTAGCGGCGTTTAGTCCCCCCTGAGGTAGTGGTACGTTTGACCGAACTGTTTGCTTGTCTTTATTTCTTATTGTATAGCTTCCTTTACTTTATACTTCTACTTTAAGTGAGGGTTAATGGCGCACATCCAGCCGGTTGTTCTCTCAGAATAAACCCCCGACAGGGTGATGAGGACCCCGACGCCAAGCGGAGTTCAAGTTCAAACTAGACGGACATTTAAGTGATACGGTATACAGTCATAACACTTATTACACTGCATTTCACCACATAAATAATTATGGAGATAAGAGATATTGATTTCAGATTAAACTGTTAAAATCGCACCTGTTTGTTATCCTTTAATCCAACAGTGTACTAAACAATAGTCACAAAATGGCACCAGCTGCGTATGTATGAAACGAGAGAGCGAGTCCACGATACTGGATGGCATAATTAAATAACTACACAAAATATTGATTTGACTGAGTTTTAATATTTTATTAGCTCACCAAATGCAAAACTTCCACGAAGAAAAAGCGTTCCTAGCGAGCGTGTAGCGCTGCTGACTTCAGTGACCCGGATGAGCCTGTGCTTCTGTGTTCAGCGGCTGTTATCAGGGAATAACACACCGCCGGAGGGCGCGATTGACTTATCTGAATCAAGTATTCCACAGAGCCGTGTAATAATAATGGGTATTGATCATTAAAACTGACATTTAACAAAAAGAGACAGGGTTGTGTTATTTTATTTTATTATACATGTCCGCAGTGAAGATCATCAGTGAGGATAATCAGTGGATTGCCTGTGACTGTTCGTCGTCTGACTGTGTACACCGAATACATGTACCGTTACAACACTGAATATATATTTATTCCTAATATCTTTATTATTAATCCGTATAGTATCTTTATTCCGTTCATTTCTTTTGTTTAAAATAAAAAATGCATGACATGTACAATCATCCTCAATATAAATATCCACATCCTTCCAAAACAATTTCAAAATTTTCCAGAACATGCTCGAAAATAAAAACTAGATTTGAAGTTGAACTAGATTTGTCATTTTTCCTTATTCATGCATGTCTCTCTTTGGTAATCTAATGCTTCAATAAACTTTAGGCAGTAGCTACAATACGTTTATATAATGCAGTATGTATGAAATGGATTAGTGTGTGTGTGTGTGTGTGTGATTAGCCCAGGGTTGTACAGTGCAACCTATACAGTATGTGATGAAATGAGAGCCTTGTCAATGAATGCAGTGTTTTTCTTTTGGATGTTCCTGATTTTGAGTTGTCAGTTAAGGGCGGCTGTATGTTTTGTGTGCAGTGAAGTACATCAGGGAGGTGTCTCCGCTCTTTAAGAAGTCCTCTATGAGTGCAGATCTGCCTTGGGATGGACATCTTCAGTCTCCAAACCTCAGCGGCAGCGACGAGTCGCCCAAGAGCAGTGTAACTCGTGACAGAAAGGTCATCCCACTTAAAATGAGCTTCATCAGCCGAAACCTCACCATGCCTGACCTGGAAAACAGGTGTGTGTGAAGTGTAAGATTACAAAAGTTACCAAAAGCAGGATTTTGTTCCTAGGGGTGGCTTTGTCATTCTACCGTAGCAGCTACATTTGAATTTGAATCTCATAAAAACATATCCAGGTTATGTTTCACACCGAAATGAACTCTAGCTTGCTGTGAATTATTAGTTCAACCAAATATTATTCATGATATTACAATAATGACAGTATTTGCTTATTACAAATAAAAATAGTGAAATAAATACATAGAAACTCAGGTATTATTTTGTACATTCAAAAACATGATACTTAACTCATTACTTTCAAGAAGTACTGATTATATAATTACTTGTAACCCTAGCACTGGAATGATAACCGTTTTCAGTAATGCTGTGTTTCGCACAGGTTGTTGGAGCTTCACTCTCCGGACGGCCAGCACACTGTGGTGTTGCGGTGTAAAGACGGCGCCACTGCTCACTCCTGGTTCACGGCCATCCACACAAACATTGCTGCCCTATTGCCACAGATGCTGGCCCACATCAACTCCTTCTTGAGCAACCCTAGCGCCAACACACACTGCACGCTCAAACACATCGGCTGGCTGGCAGAGCAGGTATCTCAAACACACATATATACACTGAATGTCTCTGAGGTCAATCATGACATGCAGCTCAAAAAACATGTCAAGTAAATGGTCACTTTACCAAACCTTTTGTGATCCTCATTAACATGTACAAATAATAGCTGATACAGTCTAGTAAATGTAGATATACCATTTTGGCTTCTTTAACTCTTTCCCCACCATATTCACAAAACTTTAATGGCCCCCAGAATATTTTGTTTTATGAATATGTAAACTAAAAGTCAATGTTTCAAAAGAAAGAACAGCATAGAACCTTTTTTTCTAGCTTCATTTGTTCTTTTTTTTTTATATCTGCACTTGAATGTGGGTAAGTTTCATATAAAAGCAAAACATAACTACATTTTAAAGCTGAGAAAATCGTGTATTAGTCAAAGACTTCCATCTGGTTCAGAATGATGATTAAAACATAGATTGAGTAGATCGAGTCCATCATCAAAAGCTTGCTCCGTCGTGCATCTCTTTGTGGGTTCGACATCTTCCTCGGTAGGGCTGGGTGGTATGATCACAATTCTTTTTCACAGTAAGTATAGTCATTTATATGTAGTTATTCTGGAAAATCGATAAAAAGGGCTTTATATAATACATAATCTCAAATACTTTAGAAATTAAATCACTTCACCTTGTTTGATCTTTCTTTTACACTGTAAATTATTTATTTGGTTTACTATATTTATATATTGATAAATATAGTAAACGAAAACACTCAACTTTTAGATGAACTGCCCTCAACTGATTGATATTAAATACAACTCGTTGGTGCAATTTAATTTTGAATAAAGTGTTGCTGAATTATTTTTAAATCTCATGTTCTTGTTTTACTTCATCAATCAGTTTATAATATCTAAATACTTTATATTAAACTATTCTATTCTTAATAAATGATATTTACTTCCATTTAATTTTGTAGGATATTAGTAATATTAGTTATATTGTTTAAATGTGTTCCCCGGGACAGTTCTGCTTATTATACTGTGTTTTTAAGGGGCTTGTTTTGCTCTTTTTTGTGATAACTGGCAACCTTTCACCTTTCACCAAGAGAGGGACGAGTTCAGAAGTAACTAGAAGGAGCTGTATGCAAACTGAACAGAAGCTTCTGTTAGTCTTGACTAAGTAGTTTAATTTATACACACCTTGTAATCTGCGTCATTATTTTACTGTAACCCTGTGAAGACTGACACCGCCGCTCAGCCTTTCATATTCACCTCTCAGTGTGTGAGCACTTTTGCATCATTAAAATGCGATCGGTTAATTTGAGTGTCAAGTTGAGAGATATGTGTCGAATCAAAGGAAGATTTTATCAGCTGGTTCCAATCAGTGGCCGATTGGAGTTAGACAAATATAATGTGCGCTGTTTCTCAATATTTAGTAATTTTGCCTCGGATACAGGATTATGTATATGGAGGTAAAATAAGGCCAAATGTTTTTGAAACAAAAAAGCTTGTTGAATTGCACTAATTGAAAAAAATATGCATTGCAATAAAGTGCTTGCATTCTTATAAAGGGCTTACATTTTTATGTGCTGAAACTCAACATGGTTTAAGCTGTGAATATTCAAAACATTTCACACACATTCTCATTATTAAAAATTCAATAATCCGTACTCACCTTTCAGATTTCACTTCCAAAATATTAATTCTGTTTAGAAATACAACCTATAATATTCGACAGGCAATTTTCGGTCAATTTTATTTCACTTTACAAATTCGCTTCTACAAATTCAGTGGTTTAAATTCAACAGAAAAATTCAACATTTCACATCCGGTAACTGCAGGAAAAGCAGAGTTATTTATGTACTAGAGTTGTTTATTTGATCAAATATCAAGAATCTTGAAGGTGTGCATCATGCCTGACACCTACATGAACACTTTACAGTTAGTTTTATGACTGTAAGTCATTCTTCTTAAATGCTATTGAGGTTAGAAACGTGTATATGTCAATGTCGTATGTCACTTTAGAGACGTCTCAAACGAATGTATATCACTGGGAAACACTAAGCATGAAACTTTGCGCGTTAAATTCATATTCTGAGTCCATCTGATCATGAGCTGAGCACGCATCGCATCAGATTATATATTTATTTAATTAAATCACAGCCTTTTGCAAATTGATGATGGCACCTAGCCAAATCATGCATTAATTTTTAGTTTGTTTGACATGCTTTGCCAAAGCAGTAACGCAAAATACAACATTAGAGACCTTTTATGTTATTATGAGAAGTTTAAAAATACTTTTGAAACCAGTCTATCTAATGAATGGGAAACACTGGTGTGTGTGCAGGTGAAGTTGGATATACAGTACTTGTATATCGAATTTTTTTTTATATAGAGCTGTGTGATAATATATTTGCATATAGTAATGTTCCAAGCAAGACAGATTTTTCCTTTGCATATGGAAACAGTATGGATTATGAATTCAGTGGCTGATTGTTGTGTTTGTGTTTAGCTTGAGCTGGATGGCGGGCGGCATCAGCACAGACGTGTCATCATGGCGCTCACGGAGAAAGACATCTTGCTGTTCCAGTCAGTGCCATGGACGTATGAGAGCTGGACCTCTCCTCTCTTAACACACCCACTACTCGCCACACGGTACAACTGTAGCTTTAGCAAAGTTTTAAGCATTCGTAATTTAGTATTTCCACCCTATCTGTGACCCCTCCATTAAAACAGGCTACTTAGCATCTTTTTTAAATTGTCTTCCCAGCCTTTTATTAAAATATAAATAAGTTTAGCCTCTGAATAAACTCACACTGTTCTGCCTTGGCTGTTTTGTGTTTGGCTCTGTCCACAGGCTTGTTCACTCAGGCAGCGTCCGCAGTTCTCCGGCTCTGGGTGCAGATTTGGTGTTTGCTACACGTACAGGCACAGGTCGAGGAATCGAGTCTCATGTGTTTCGTGTGGAGACACACTGGGATCTGTCCACATGGACACGTGCACTGGTGCAGGGCGGACATTCGGCTGCTGAACTCATCAAAGAGGTTTCCATAGGTGGGTGTGTATGTGTGTGAATATACAAATAAGAAAGCAATCCACCCTATGCTAAGACCCACTTTAAAAACTTTACAGACCAATCCTACCTTAGCAAACATGGCCATCCCTGTATTATTATTAGACACATTTGTATTGTTTTTGTCATTATGTAAGTCCATAGAAGTATGAATCATTTTGGCATGAAATGAAAATTCACCTTATCGATTTTCTAAATTCATGTTATAGATCTTATTGTGAATGATTCATTTAAGTTTCCTTTTTTATTTTGACCTCATAATCATGAAAAAGCTCGATCTTCTGGTGAAACTGACAGACTTCACTCTGGTGACATAAGCAGGACTTCTCCAATCATTTAGTCCACTTAAACCCCGCCCCTGCAAGCTTGTGATCATTTGCCTCAAGTTTTGAGTGCAACACCCACATCTTAACATCCAATCAACAACAGCCTCGGTTGAAATGTTAATAGGTTAATGTTTATTTATTTAGTTTTGATTGTGGTTATGATGGTTTATAAATGTTCTCTGTACTCATACCAATTGCACTGAAATGATGCAGGTTTTAATCACAAGACTTTTTGTAATTTAACAATTAATGAGTGACTGAATTAAAGGACAGATAAAATGCATTTCATTCATTCATTCATTAAAATGTACTTTTAATGTTATACACTGAATGGATATTAATCTTACAAGAACCAGAATAAAGTGTAAGTCACACTTTATTCTGGTTCTTGTAAGATTAATATCCACTCAGTGAGTACAACATTTTAAGTACATTTTATTGAGAATTCTGTTTTTCTTTGAAAAGTCCAAATTCATTCGCGTGGGATGTTCTGTAACACTTGTCTGAGTTACCATGGGGCTTATATTAGCACAGGGATAACTGAGTGGGAAAAAAGCTGGATTGAGAGATCTTTATTTTCCTGTGGTGTGGAACAATAGCTGGCTGGAGGAAATGTTGGAAATATTAAGTGTTTTCCTTCCTGAGTTCCAGCCAGGTAATGAAATATAAAGTCACATTAATTCACCCTCTCATGGTTCATATCTGTGTATGTTTGTCTGCACTCCTCAGGCTGTGTGTTGAACGGACAGGACGTTTGTCTGATCCTGCATTATGAAAGAGGTTTCACCGTGACACGGGAATCTGGTGAATCTGTGCTGTTCCACTTCCCTTATGAGCGGCTCAAAATGTCTGCGGATGATGGAGTCAGGAATCTTTACCTGGACTTTGGTGCTCCAGAGGGCGAAATGGTATGGCATGAAATACATTTACCTGTGATGATGTCGTGAGATGGACATACAACTCTGAAGTCCCTAATGTCATTAAGAATGAAAGTCTTCTGGTCTACTCTGACTTCTGATCTATTGAGATATATATGTATATATATATTTAGGGGAGTAACGGTACACAAACATGACGGTTCGGTACGTATGGGCATTTTAACTGTGTGATAAATATAAGCAGTACGGCACAACGGTTCATATGTTCATTGTCTCTAAATTATGACCAGAAATGGATAAATATTAAATCTGCTGTTTAAATCAAATAAAGAATCAATGTAGAAGAATAGATATTATGTGCAAACAGCGGCAAACTCTGTATATTTGTGCAGTGTGCGCATGTCAAAAAATCTATTCTGATTTGTAGCTTGTGACAACATTTGTTTAGCGTTCATGTAAACACTACATTCAGATTCATCAATACATAATCAAGTCATAAACACTCAACAATCCTAAGCAACTTGTGTTTTTGTTGTTGCTCACTCTTTTTTTCCATTTTCGGCAGCAACTTTTCATATTCTTTATCCTGGCTGAAACACTTTTGTTTCAATCTATAAGAATAATATAATCAGCCTATGTTATAGTTTAAAGTTAAAGGTATTAATATTAATAAGTTGAGTCTTATGTTTATTTGACAGTGATTTCACATTTCTTGTTTACAGCTAAATACAATAGAAGATTAACACATTTATTTGTACCATTTTTATTTCTAAAATATTATATAGTTTTATAGGAGGAAGGTTTCAGAGACTTGGCAAATACATTTTTCAGACGTTTGTAGGTACAAACATTTGTTGTGGACGTTCTTGGCAGTTTTTCTGAGGCTTTTATATTGTTCATATCGATATCGTAATTCTACCGTATCGACCGAAATTAAGAAATATATCATGATATGAATTTTGTCCGTATCGCCCAGCCCTACTCTAAATGCATCCTTAGTTTCCTGTGCAATGAAGGAAATTCATCGCGCACCAGTGACGACAGGATTTTTTTTTAGAGAAATTGCCTAATTACAGGTTTAAACAGAAACATATAAAAGTTGAAACACTTATACATATGTAATGTATCTTATCTAAATATCTAATGATGCAAATGTAAAAATAAAAACATCCTTTAAATAGGTTCACATGTTGACATATCTTACTAAGATGCAATTATATATAGTTTATATTCTACTATATACAGAGATGGACCATTGTGAACATATTTAGACAGTTTGTGAACCTGTTTTGTTTTCAGAGTTTAATATAACTTTCTAAAAAGTCCAGTACAAACGTTACAGTCGCTCATCAAGGGCAGCTGACACAGTTGCTAGGCGACAAGAACAATCCTCCGTATGCCAGACCGTCCCATTTAACAACGCTTGTTCCGACCTTCATGGCCTTCGAAGTCTGTGTCCTTTAAAGAACGCAGCCTCTGAACTGGGACACAGCTATAGTCTTGCATCCATTTTGACATGCTTTTCGTCAAATTAATGTGTGCGTTATTTGAGAACGGTTTGTTTTATCAAAAAGCTTTTGATCATTTTTTTGGCCAGCATGTTCTGAAGATGATCAGAGCCAATTTTACTGAAAAATTAATGAGCTGGATATGAATCTAGGATAAATTTGAAAAATGTATTTTATTTATTTTCTGTGGACATTTTTTTATCAAATCATCTTGAGAGGAAATCGGAGGAGACATAATTTAGTTTTTTAGCCCTTAGGATTCAAAAGTTGTTAGCATAAACATGAGAGCTACTTTGGACAGTTGGTGGCGCTAGAGGGATTGAATTAGAGACTAGGTTAATGTTGATAGTGCACTCTATCATGTGATCATAATTTACGCTATATGGTCAAAAGTATTGGGACTCTTCATTTTTTAATTTAGTTGTTTCAATCAAACCCATTTGTGATAGGATGCCACCCTTGCAATAAGTCAGTTCGTGAAGTTTCATCCCTGTTAGAAATTCCACAGTCAACTGTGAGTGATATTATTGGACAGTGGAAGCATTTAGTAACAGCCACAACTCAGCCAAGAAGCAGAAGACCACGTAAAGTCACAGAACAAACTGGTCATCGAGTGCTGAGGTGTGTGGTGTGTAGAAGTCACCAACTTTCTGCTGATTCCACTGCTAAAGAGTTCCAAACTTTTATTGGCATTAATATCAGCACAAAAAAACTGAGGCGGGAGCTTCGTGGAATGGGTTTCCATGGTCGAGCAGATGCATGAAAGCCTCACATCAACAAGTTCAATGACAAGCGTCGGATGGAGTGTGTAAAGCACATCACCACTGGACTCTGGAGCAGTGGAAACTTGTTCTGTGGAGGGACGAATCACGCTTCTCTGTTTGGCAGTCTGAATGGTCTGAGTTTGGCAGATGCCAGGAGAGCGTTACCTGCCTGACTGCATTGTGCCAAGTGTAAAGTTTGGTGGAGGAGGGATTATAGTGTGGGGCTGTTATTCAGAGGATGGGTTAACTTAGGACCCTTACTTCCAGTGAAGGGAATCTTAATGCTTCAGCATGCCAAGACATTTTGGACAATGCTATGCTTCCAACTTTGTGGGACAGTTTGTGGAAGGTCCATTTCTATTCCAGCATGACTGTGTCCCAGTGCACAAAGCAAGGTACATTTAAGACATGGTTGGCTGAGTTTGGTGGGGATGAACTTGACTGCTGACCCACACAGAGCCTCAACACCTGAGATGAACTGGAACGGAGATTGCGAGCCAGGCCTTTATGGAGTTAATATTGTGCCATAATTAAACAAACAAATCCAGCATTTTGCAAACAAACTCGATCTGCTTTGCAAAGTAAAAATCGACTCGACTCTACTCGTGTCCCAGTAATTTTGTCCATATAGTGTGTGTGTGGACTCATAATCAACATTTCAATTTAGATGAATCGCATGTCATAGGATATCACGGACAATTTAAAGAGCATATTGCAGGTAAAAAAAAAACCTAAATTAATATATAACCTTGTATGAAAAGTTAATGCAGGATTTAAAATGTTTTAAAACGACATAAGGTTTCTTGGACTGCTCGTAAAAGCTTTTTTTTTTTCAGCATCGTGTCATTTTACGTCACGCCAGGGAGCCTCAGCCTCAGCTCAGTGCAGAGTAGGCTGGTATTCAGTGAGAGCGTCGTGAGTCAGTGTGTTTTTGGTAGTTTTTGTATTTCAATTTATCATCGTCATGGTAAATTATTGTGTTTGTGGAGGTTGCAAAAACTCCAGCCTGTCAGGACATCGAGTCCACAGGTTTCCATAACAAGAAAAAGGACGGTGCTGTATGTCTTTCGTGCCTGGTGCGGTTTGTGCAGGTGAAGAGACGGGATTTCTCTTCCGCATCGGCTTCGAGAACCGCGGTCGTGTGTAGCGTTCACTTCAGATCGGAGGATTATCATCCCGGCGATATGATGGAGTTCAACATGGGATGCCAAAGCAAGAATATTGATCGTCTTATACTGTACCAATGGCATCAAATAGTGTGATATAGGTAGTCATGCCCTTAATAGAGGCAGCTGGTAATTGAAAAACAAAATTACTCAGGTTGTTTAAATATTCAAATCTTTAATTTTCTGTTTATGTTATAACCCAGGTGAAAAATATGTATTAAAATTGTACTTGAGTATGTTTTTAGTAGAATACAAATATACTCAAGTATAGTTTTTATACATTTAATAGTATATATCTATCTACCCTAAACATACTAATGTCTGCTGGCCTGATATACGATGGTAATAATCTGTACAATATTGTGAGCACAGTGTATATCGTTAGCGAACAAGCTATCGTATATCTATAAGCTAACACTGGTCTCTCACCAAGACACCTGTCCTGTTCTCCACTGGTTCTCCTCACACCACAACTCAATGTGTCTCTGACCGTTCTGTCTAACATTAATCCTGGCCTGTCCCTACTCTCTTGGCAGCATAGCAGGCTCATAATTGTATGGCTGTGGTCCGTCATACGAGCAAGTATTTCCTCAGCGTCCGAAATGTCATTGCGATCCATTGTTTTCCTGTTGTTTGAATCGACCGCTCTCCCGCCCGTTACGTCACGCCCGCCACGCCCAGACGCGGAAGTAAAATTTTCTCACAAAAACGACTCCAGAAACTTCTGTAGCATATTTATAAGTATATTTGAAAGAAAATCTAGTTCCTACATTATTTTTCTATACATTGACTCGTTTGGTCCTCTAACCTGCAATATGCCCTTTAAAATGAATGTGAAGATATCATTTGCAGCTCAAAGCTTTATTTACCTGAAGCATTTATCTTAAGGTCCTTTTCATTTGATCATTTATTTCTATAATATGTAATTATAATAAAAATAAACTTTATTTTATATAGAGCCTTTAAAGCAGTTTCTTAAGGCACTTTACTCAATAAAAATACAAAAAGAGGAAAAAACACAGATAGAAATACAAAGTATACAAAAAACAAGAACACACTACAATACAAAATAATTAAAACCCCCAAGAAAAAGTTAACCAAAAAAAAAAGTGTTTTTAGATTGGATTTTAAAATGCTTAGATTTTGTCCATCTTTAATATGAGAGTCTAGGAGCATATGATGAGAAAGCCCTCCCGTACAGATCGCAAACCTTTAAAACAGTGTTTTTGAGTAGGGATGCACGATGATGTCGGGACAACATCGGTATCGGCCGATAAAAGCTTAAAATGACCATCATCGGCATCGGCCGATATGAATATTTCTGCCGATGAGTCTTGCCGATAGGGTGGCGTGTTTCCTATGCGCACGTGACGCGAACGAAGCATGAGCGCCAGCAACTTAAACTTCCAACTAGGGGTGTGCGTCTCACGCGGTTTTTGATCGTGGACGATTAAAATGTCTCCACGATCTGCTTTTAAAGAAAAATCATAGTATCGTGCATTCTATCAGTTCAATTCTGGCGCCTTCATCTCAACATACTGTACAACGCGACGTACATTCACATCACATGTAAACGCAGAGGTAGAGTTACACTCACGGGACACCGCAATTCACAAAAGTTCATTGTTTGCATGTGCGTCAAAGTCTTGCTAGGTAAACATGTCATTCACGTGCTGATGCGCTGTTCTAACATCCGCTTTTCTGAGCGCGTTACACCCGACGCTCACAGGAACTAAAGCCGTCACAGCGCCTGCATACTGGACTAATCTTTCGAGTCTTATTGCGCTGATACTGTCAAATACACACACGGTTTACATAAACAAAGTTGGTTATGTCTAAAGTGAAAGCAAACAGAGAAAATCTGCTTGTCAAATGCGTGTATATTAGACGCGTCGCGTTACTCGCGTGCAGTTCTTAAAGAGACAGTAATAATATTCTGCCGCTTGTCTTTAAAGAGATACTGCACCCAGAAATAAAAATTCTGTCTATCTAATGTTGTTTCAAACCTGGATTCATTTCTTTCTTGTGCTTAAATATACTATGGAAGTCACTGAAGTACAGCAACTGTTTGGTTAGCCACATTCTTCCAAATAACTTTTATAATTTCAACAGAAGAAAGAAACTTGAGAGAGTAAATGATGACAATTTAAATTTTTGGGAGAACTATCCCGTTAATGTTAATAAAACAACAAAACACAGAGGAAATCACTCACTGCTCTTGACTGAGAACATTAATAGAAGCTTTAATAAGCTTTTTTTGCACTTAAAAAAAAATACAAATATATCGGTATCGGCATCGGGCAAAATTAGTTTGAAAATATCGGCATATCGAATATCGGCCAAAATCCTATATCGTGCATCCCTATTTTTGAGTGAACCGTTGTGCATAAACACTTAATGTGAAATGTTTTGTAGAAAGGAAACTAAAGTTAGGACTTTTTTCTTTTTTTCTCTTCTGTAGGTGTTTGAGCTTCACTCGGGGCCGAAGCCTGTGGTCTTCGTGCTTCATTCCTTTCTCTCCGCCAAACTGGCTCGCTTGGGACTGCTCACATAAAATCTACAGGAGATGATCGAGGTTCATTTATTTCATTGGTTTATTGACAGCTACTATTTTACTTAAGCAGTGTTTTCATTGTTCCACTTGTCCTCTAGCCGACATATGTGTTCAGTTGTTGTTGGTGTTTGTGTGTGGCTTTCTAAAGCAGAATACAATCTTATTTTCCTCTGATCAGGAACACCAGTTGTGCCTTTTCATCTAGAGTCAACAAGCTTTTACAGATATTTTTTGAGGCTTAAGATCACAGTAAAGCTTTGCAAAATAACCAAAATGAATATTATTCTTGTATTATCTATGTTGTTTTTCATGTAACTCTTGTATTTATGTTTATATGTATTGCATGGCAAAGACTGTTACATCTATGTGTTATAATCTTAAGGAATGTCGTTTGAAAATGGCAGTAACAGACTGCTGTTCATGCAAATATGGAGAAAATGAAGCTTTAAATACATTCTCTCATTACTGACCAAAAATAACCTCCCTAAAGCTAAAATTCTCCTCTATAAGGTGTTGAATAGGATTAATTAAGTTCAAAGAATATTTTGAAATCAATATAAAGTATAGGAATGTTTTATATCTGTTATATCTGAACTATTTGTTCTCATTTATGACCAAACCAGCTCCAGGCCTTGATTATTTTTGTCCTTTTCCACTGTACATTAATGTACTGCTACTCGATCCGCATTAGATAAGTGATTAGTCCTCATTACGGGATTCCCAACTCACTAGAAATCTGCAAATATCAGACAATTTTCTGATTTCCATGTTCAGAAACTTTGAAATGAAAGAAATTATGGAGAAATCATTTCTATAGTAATTTAAATTTTTTCTAGATATAATTAGCTCTTAAACAACTTAGCCTTTCGTGAGTACAATCTTTATAAAACAACTTTTATTTGTCCGGTTATCATGCAAGACTGAGAAGGTCGTGGGAATTGGTTGGTCAGAAGGTGTTATTAGCACTGATATATGTGGTTTGTTTTGGCAAATTTGCTTCGTCTGATCAGTAATATCAATTATAGCATCATTATATATTCTTTATTAACATATTAGCTTTTTATGTATTGCATGTAATGCAAACTGAGTTTGAGCTCATTATCTCCTGTAGTAACCAATCTTTTCAGCCTTTAGACTTTGTAAAAGCAATCACAGACGCCATATTGGGGCAATACTGAAAACATTCCTTCGAAACCTTCGTTAGACAACATGCAGAATGGAGGCAGTGTGTTTTTGTAAGAAGAGAATATGAACAATATGACAATGTATAGAGGTATTAATGTCTTTTAGATGATTGTAAACCGCATTCCTTCACAACCGTTGCACAAGGTTAACCGAAGCAATATTTTAGCACAAGAGTCACTCCACAAGTAAGATGGTTAGGTCCTTTTTTTCTTTTTTAAAGGACCACAGATACAACCTCTGTGATGTGTTTAAGTGCCCTTCAACTTTTATAGTCTATTGTACGTACTAATACAATAAATATTTGAAAATGAGAGGGAGTGAATTTGTGAAAATTCAAGTGAATTCTTGTTCACATGGAGACCTTCTTGGTTTCTTCTAAAGTGTCTATTAAAGTAAAAGATGACACTTTTGGCTGTAATTACCGATTGTGTTTCGCTCTCTGAGGTTGGTGATCCCTCATAGTTTTGGACCTCTTATGTGCTGCCTCATTATTTTCATTAATGTTATGATGTCAGACCTCTTACTGAGACCCATTGCATTGTGCATTGTCTTAACTATGAAACTGTGTTAAAAACACTTGGCCAGGTTAATAAATTGCACTTGTGTAAGTGATATGTTTGGACCTGTCATCAGCCTAATATTTGACATGACAATGAATGTACTTTATAGACCCATAGATACACGCCTCATTTCATTATTTGTGTTGGGTTTTGAGTCAATATATTGATTCTTCTTTATTTTGAGGAAATGTTTAAACCAAAGTTCACTTGTGGCAGCTTGCAGTACACAATCAAATGCAAAAAAGCTAATTTGTTTGTGCGTGTATGATAACTCAAAGCCTGTAACCAGAAGCTATGCATTATGTCTGTATGTAGATTTCATATATAAATAAAACATCCTAATTAAAGGAGTGATATATTATATTCAATTCCGTTACATGACATTACTAATATTATATTATATGATATGATATTATATTATGTGATATTAATTATTAAGCTATGGAACAAATGTGTACAGCCTTTGTTTCCGGGGACAGTACTGTAGTGAACACTAGATGGTAGCAACTTCCTTTTCTAGGCTTACTTGTACCACATAATGAACCTTCATTATACTATTTTATACTATTTTACTGTTGTCGTTATTTAACGAGCAATTTAAATATATTATAAATAGTAATAATAGGACGCCGTACTGAAACCGCAGGCGCGTGAGATGAAATGACAACGTCAACACTACAGGTGAGTTTACATTAGCTTTAGCTTTAGCATATCCTCATCATTATTTAATAATATTATTTACTGAACATTGGCTGAGCAAATAATCTGTAATTACTGCTCGTTCATAATTCACACAAATTAGGGGCTTTGAACAGTTGTAAACATGATATCAGAAATCGGTGGAGATATTGGAAAATAACAAGCTACCATATAAACAAAACCTCGTTTCAGTTCATATTAATTTATAAGATATTGAATTTAAGGCTGAACTGCATTTTGGAGCGCTATCAAGCGAAATATATTTGTAAATGTGCAATGCATTAATGCTTTTATTTTTTGAATGGCTGATGTAATTATATGACCAGTAATTTAGGCCTTTCTATCTGTCAATCTGTCGTTCTACAATTTAATGACAGCAAATCAAATGTACACACTACATGCAATTGCTGAAATTAAATAAGCATTTACACGTATTTAAAATTTTCTTTACACAATATTTTCACTCCGAGAAAATAAGAATAGAGAGACAATATGTAACCCCATTCTACAAAGCTGTTGGGTTCTGACACACTCTTGTCTATTTGGAAAAGGGCCATATATAAAGGTAATACAGTGTAAGTTAGATGTACACAGAATTTCTGAAACTTAATATACACAGAAATCCTCCCAAAACATTTTGAAAAAAGAAATTGAGCATAATTTGCGAGGCTAATTTCTTTTTTAACTGACACTTTGATTTAAGACAAAATTTGGACTGAGACAAAAAGTTGGGTGAGTATTGCTTCCAATGTATTAAAAATACCTGGCTTCTGGCTTAGAATAGACTTTTTAGTGTCAAGTCAGGTCACCTTTATTTCTATAGCAGCTTCACAGTGATAAACAGGAAAATTAGGCTATGCATTTTTTGGCTGAAGTCAGTTCAGTGTTGATTCAGTTCCGTTGTAAAAGATCATCAATTATTAAACTAGTTAATTTCATTTATAAAGCAGATATGCAAAAAAATTATGTCATCATCCAGCTCAGTTCAGTTCTCATACAACAGCGTCAGTACAGTCAGATCAATAATATTGTTGAATATTAAGTGTCTATCAGGTGACAGAATGGAGAAAAAACCTTGGGAGAAACCAGGCTCAGAAACCAGTTCTCCTCTGGCCAACGAACGAACACGGTGTGATAAGTGAGAATACTTCTTTACAAATGGGTCTGTCAGTTATGGCTCCAGGAATAAATTGTTTCATTTGACCATTTTTGTGTCCAAACCTGATTATTTTTGTCTGCAAAGAGGAACGTCTGATAAACAAATGATGTTTAAACTAGGAGTTTGCCTAATTTCTCTCAATCAAAACAATTGCATAATTATAAAATTGTATATTAGACCCAAAAAATTTACCCACAGGATTTTTTTTTGTTTGAAATTTGAAAAAGTGTATTTTTGAACTCAAAATTCAAGATTTTTAAATGATTGTTTATGTAAATAATTTGTTACATTTCTAGTTTCAACAGAATTTGTACTGTAAAGATAAGCAAGCCAGAGTTTTGTTTTGTTGGGAAAGAACTGTGCAAATACTATCTGGTCTTATAGTATGGTCTTAATATAACCAATACAAATGTGTAAAGTTTACCACCTCTCACATGTAGCCTCACAAAGAGCCTAACATCTTTGGGATTTAACTATCTAGGCCTGGTCTTAAATATTAATATACTAATATGAAAGTTGTTTCTGGAGGTATAGGCACACCAGTTTTCCTTTAATATACTTATAATCTTTATTTACAGTCAAATGATTTTGCAAGCTTTATTTTTAGAACTTGACTCTTGCTTCAAATACCTTCAAGAAATAATAAATTTCTTAGAAAATATTTGATATCATTTGTTTTTCTCTAACCTGGAGGGGAAAAGAAAAGATTAAAAAAAAAATTCATCCACGGACCTCTGGCTGAATTGGCCTGGATTGACTGTTTATAAATAATATTTTGGTCTGTCATTTCACCGAGCCTTCAGTAACTCTATTTCAATCAATAACTCTAAGTGTCTTTTCTTTTTCAGAAAGCGATTGAGCTGGTGACTAAAGCCACAGAGGAGGACAAGGCCAAGAACTATGAGGAGGCGCTGAGACTCTACCAGCACGCCGTGGAGTATTTTCTGCACGCCATCAAATGTGAGTCAAGCTTATTGCTGAACTACATCTGAGAGAATGCTATTCAAAATTAAATCAAAATGGACCCTGTTTACTCTCTAATACACATTCCTGATCTTATTTTGCACAGTTAAAGGTGCAGTAAGCAATTTCTGAGAAACACTGCTGATATTTGAATATCCAAACAAACACACCCCCCTCACTTAGTTTCTCCGCCCCCAAATTAACCAACATGCAATGCAACACAGTCTCCAGCAGCAGCTCCAGACAAACAATGACACTCAAAGCTGTGCTGTTACTATAGCTAACTTTACAACTACAGCATAACTTGTTTCTGTGAAACAGACATAGCAAAATCAATGTTACTCACGTTTGAACTAGAAACAAAGTAACCTCTGAGTCCATTTTCCTGCTCTCTAACGTCTCTCTAGCGCTGGAAAGCTTTTCTTATATAAACGCGGGTCCTAAAGCTCTTGCCTGATCATAACTGCGTTCACACCGGAAGCGGATAGCGCGTCAAATTCTTGTCTACCGCGTCTAGTTTGACGCTTGACAACTTTGTGTTAATTCGCGCGTCAAGAGTGAAACTGACGTTGGCGGCCATCTTTTTTATTTTGATCGAGCATTCATCGGGAGAGTCACCGCTCTGTATTTGCTCTGGAGAGCAGAACAGCGGCGTAGGGGTCATCGTCGCCGTATTTGTGTCCACCAGACCCTTCGGAGGCGAACCCAGTTTGGCGAGTTTAACCATTTGCTCGCTCCAGGAGCTGCGCCTGGATGACGGCCGCTCTCAGCGGTACTTCCGCCTGTCCCGCGCCCAGTTTGATGACCTGTTGTCCCGCATCGGAGCGAGGATCACCCTCGCCCTCACCCACCTAATATGTCATTTATTTTTGTGTTGATGATAAATGGAGCCAGCCTCCAAAAGTGATTAACCTGTCCTGTGATTTTTTCTCTCTCACACAACACTGTCCAGACGCGAACTTATGCACTATAGTATGTTGGTTGTCTTTACATTATAATAATATTTCATATAATCTAGATATGGAATAAATAGCATTCAATACAAAATGAATGTCTCATATATTGAAATCAAGTTTTATGTGATAAAATATTTGCTTTGTTGTGCATTAGAACCACACAGGCATTTAGTCATATTACAAAATAATTTATTGAAGCATCCGGATACCTCACCACGTGACAGCAGCAAGCAGCTAGGCTCCTGATTGGTTAACGCGGCGCGAATTGACGCCAAAGTTCAGATTTTTCAACTCGGGCGGCAGACGCGAATTCGCGTCAAACGCGTGAATGCACAAAAAGCACTTAAAGTCCCCGTGAACCGGAAGTTGCAAACGACTTTTCTCCAGTGTTGTGACGTATTTCCGAGAGAAACGGAATACTAAATGAGGCAAAATAGTGGGCGTGGCTTTTTTTCCCCAACTAGCACCTGATTGGATCTAGAAAAGTAGGTGTTTTCATGCAGCCTGTCTACTGTCAGTTGGAGGGGCGTGGTTACGGATGTTAAGCAGACACCCAAACTGTCAAACCTACGTCATCAGGGAAGGTCCTCCAATGCAGAGGGGAGGGGAAATTTCAGATTTTGATTAAAGATTACGAAGCCAAAACATTTCTTTGTGTGGATTGACTTACATGGATGAATTGTTCACCACAAAACGGTGAATTTAGGCAAACAAAGTAAGTATGGTCAATTTTGAATTCATGGGGACTTTAATAAAATCATTTGCGCGTAACACGCCAGACGCTCAATTTGCGCCATTCGCGCGAACTTGACACGCGAATGAGGCGTATTCGCGTCTACCGCGCCGCGATCTACGCCTCATTCGCGCTGCAGGAATTTTTTACGCGCGTAACGCGTCTTTGCATTGACTTAACATTGAAATCACTTGCGCCTGACGCGCTATTCGCGTCCGGTGTGAACGCACCATAACCCTTCTCTTTCCAATACTATTTTTGACCTTTTCTCTTTGGTTATATCTCAGTTAACTCTCTATCTGCAGTCTTTCTACAAATGTCCTGCTGGACTGTATTCGCCCCGACTGCTGTCTGGCCTACGGGAGTGTTTTGGTGCTTTTTACACAGCCAGGACTATGTACAGACACAATATATTTTTTTCAGCACACACATTGAACAGACATCTAGCAAATATTCACAAAATTGTTTGTTTGGGTTTTGATTCGAAGTTTTCAACAGCGTTTCACTTACTGCACCTTTAATCGGTGCACAATATTTAAAAAAAGAAAAAAAGTCTCCGCTTCTGACACACCTGGGCCTCGTGGGCTACTGTAATGTTAAATGGCAGATAATGAGAGACTTGAAAAATAAGTGTTACCATTTGGAAGGTAGATGCCAGTGTTGTTTTGAGACTCCTGCAAATCCACTGCAAACTCATATCAAAAAGGCTTGTAAGGGGCATTTCATGTTTACTTAAGTCATAAATTATTTCCTTTCTGGCATTTTGGGGGTTTAAGTTTTTTGATGAACGTTAGATCAAATTGTAATTACACTTTCTCAAGATTCTAAACGTGTAAATGTAGCATTTCTTACGAAAGATTTTAAGAGATCAGGCACCTTTGATCCTTTTGTGTCTCAGATGAAGCACACAGTGACAAGGCAAAGGAAAGCATACGTGGGAAGTGTATGCAGTATCTGGACAGAGCCGAGAAACTCAAGGACTACTTGAAGAACAAGGACAAACAGGGCAAGAAACCAGTGAAGGAAACACAGAGCAATGACAAGTACGCATTTATTATTTGTTCTGCTGGATGTTGTTGATGAATTGAGTATAGTGCATCCACTCACACTGATTGTGTGTGTGTGTGTGCAGAAGTGACAGTGACAGCGAGGGAGAAAATCCGGAGAAAAAGAAACTCCAGGAGCATCTGATGGGTGAGTCCGTATGTCTTGCTTAATTTTTGTTAATGCAAAACAATACCCACCTGCTGTTTTGATCATAATGATGGAATGTTATTGATGTTTCTTCAGGTGCGATTGTGATGGAGAAGCCCAATGTGAGGTGGAGTGATGTGGCTGGACTGGAGGGGGCAAAAGAAGCCCTGAAGGAAGCTGTCATTCTACCCATCAAATTTCCACACCTGTTCACAGGTCAGTCTGTGTCTTAGAAATCAAGAAAAATCTTAGCGTTATGTAGTGGTTTTTTATCAGGAGAGACCGAGGACGATTATAAACACACAGCTTTCTTTCTTGTATTAGATTATTTTTCATTTTAAATCAGAGGTCTTCAAATATGCCCCTGGGGACCCACTGTCCTGCAAAGTTTATTTCCTGCTTCAGCACACCCGTCTGGGGTTTTTCAATCCTGAAGAGTTTGATTGGCGAGTTCAGGTGTGTTTGAATAGGGTTGGAGATGAACTGTGCTGGACAGTGGCATTGTGTCTGAATATGCCGCCTTCCATACTGTATAGTAAAAGTGAAACTGGCATGTGAAGGCCAAGTATTGATACTCATACCCATACTCTGAATTTGAGTAGTGAACAGACACACAGCAAACCGTGGACACACACATACCCGGAGCAGTGGGCAGCCATCTTTTGCTGTGGCGCCCGGGGAGCGATTGTGGGTTTGGTGCCTCGGTCACTTCCTGCCGATATTCAGAGTCGAACCCGCAATCTTCCGGTTACCAGTCTGACTCTCAAACCATTAAGCCACGACTGCTGAAAAACAGTGTGTGAGTCGAGTAGTATGTCCAAATTCAAAGAATTCACAAAACAGTAGGTGAAAAATCCCAGAATGACCTACTACTTCTGCCGAATTTCTGAAGTGTGCATTCGATGGACATGTTACGGATTTGTGAATGGCAGTAAAGCGACACAACCGACGCTGTAGGTCACATGACAATGACAACATTGTGTATGTAGTGTCTGAATTTCATTCATACTATATAGAACATATTTTTTTAACGGTCACAAAGTAAGTTTCAAACCAAATGTAGTACGTACTATACAGTATGTGATTTCAGATGCAGCACGGGTCCTCAGGAGCAGTGTTGAAGACCTCTGCTCTAAATATTTAAAGTCCCCCTGTTTTATCCCCCGTAAAACTCATCTTTGATCACCAAAATGACATTAAAAAAAAAACAAATTCCTGTGACAATCTCAGTCTGCCTTCTAACAATCATCAGAAACGCTTTGAACAATGTCAGTGGAGAAAGGCATATTTGTTCATCATAACATCGTAATATACATCATACACCCGCTATATTACTGAATCTACCCGATTTTTCATATCAACAGAAAAATACACTGGGATGAACTGCTTCTCTCGAGACTCCACCGCTTAAGAGAATAGTAATGATATGCTAAAGCCCGCCGGGACGTTGTTCTGATTGGTTACAAGGTAGTTTGTGACGTCAGAAACACCAGCGATTTCAAACCGCGTATTTGAGACGGTCTTTGGTTCACTGCAGTTTTAAAGAGAAAATACTCAGCAATGCTGTTGACATGAATTTGGTTTGTCTTAAAGCATAATAAAAACACCACATAGACATAAACAACATTAAAAACTAGATTTTTACCACAGGGGGTCTTTAAATGTGCAGTTTCTGTTGGCACACATGTACACTAACACTACCATTCAAATGTTTGGGTTCAGTAAGATTTTTAAAAATAAATTATTATACTTATTAAACAAGGATGAAGGATGTCAGTGAAGACCTGTAAAAGCTGTTCTTTTGACTTTTCTGTTCATCAAAGAATCCTGAAAAATGTTTTTACCACATTTCCCAAAAAATATTAAGGAGCACAGATGTTTTCAAGTGTGATGATAATAAGACCTGTTTCTTGAGCAACAAATCAGCATTAATATGATTTCTGAAGGATCATTAACACTGCAGTAATGGCTACTAAAAATACAACTTTGCCATCACAGGAATAAATAACATTAGCATAAATTACATATTAAATTAAAAAAACAGTTTTTACTGTTTAAGCATAAAAGAATAAGAGACTCTTTAATTTCAAAAACATGAAAAAGTCCTTGGATGGTAGTGTATGTTTCTTATAAATAATCTGTGTTATAAATGAATATGGGGTTTTTTTGTACCTTGATGTCCTTGTCATTTTTAAGCTCATTCTTTTAATGATTCAAGATGCTGTTTTTTTTCATTCTTTTAAAGACTATAATCTGTGTGTACATTGTGATGCAGGCAAGCGCACCCCGTGGAGGGGCATTCTCCTGTTTGGGCCGCCCGGCACTGGGAAGTCTTATCTTGCCAAAGCTGTCGCCACCGAGGCCAATAACTCCACCTTCTTCTCCGTGTCTTCATCTGATCTCATGTCGAAGTGGCTCGGCGAGAGTGAGAAGTGAGGTTCAGTCTCTGCTCTCGTGTCTGACCGTCTGCGTGAGGTGCAGGACTCTCTGAACCATGTGTTCTGTCTTCCAGACTGGTGAAGAATCTGTTTGATCTGGCTCGCCAGCACAAGCCCTCCATCATCTTCATCGATGAGGTGGATTCTCTCTGTGGATCCAGAAATGAGAATGAAAGTGAAGCTGCTCGGAGGATCAAGACGGAGTTCCTGGTGCAGATGCAGGGTGAGAAACACTCGACGGCAGTGTGTGAGCAGTGAAGAACTAGTTCAGTTGATGCGGTCGAGCAGCTCTGTTGCTCAGCAGTTGAGACGTGTCGTCGTCATTTTGCACTCCCAACACAAATGACAATATTACTGTTGCTGGAGCATCTGCATCGCACAGCAGACACCGTAGATTGACACTAAACCCTTAGAACGGTCAGATCATGTATCATTTGTTAGCATTCTTAATATATTCTACAGTATATAGTAAATGTATACCATGGTAAAGAAAGTTATAAAATATATATTTTTGCATCACAGTGGTTCTAGTAAATTTTGATATTTCAAAGAACTTCTCGATTTGTTTTTATTATTATAAAAAAATGGGTTAAATGTAGTTATTACTACATATATATAATTACGCTACAACAATGAGAAATATTAAGCAACTACATGTACTTACTATAGGGTTAGGCTAGGATTAGGTTGAGGGTTAGTTACATGTAATTATGCATAATTTACTGTTGTTACTATGGTAAGTACATGTAACAAGTAACAAGGACACTGTAAAATAAAGTGTTACCCACTGTGGCATTCAAAACTTAGACATTTTTGCACATTCACTCATTAATAAGAAGAGACTGATCAGATACAATATGGGGGGGGGGGGGGGAATACGAAAGGTGTATACAGGTTTTTAATGTAGTAGGACTTAGCGAATACATTTTAAACATGATAAAAAAATATATATTGACCCACATACAGAATGTTGCAGGATTTCCTCATAATTTGCTATAATCTGTCTTGACATTGTGTAATGGTTTGCTGGCGTCTCTCTTTGGCAGGTGTTGGTAATAGCAGTGATGGGATATTAGTTCTCGGTGCTACTAACATTCCCTGGGTCCTTGACGCTGCTATTCGCAGGAGGTCAGTGTAATGAATGTAAAAACAAAGATCATGTTTTATGTCATGATCATGTCTGTTACCTTAAATTATATGTTTATCTCTGTAAAGCTGCTTTGAAACAATCCATTGTTAAAAGCGCTATTTAAATGAAGATGACTTCACCTGACTTGACTTTTAAAGCAGTGTTTAATCTGCACTCCCCGTGGTCTGTGCAGGTTTGAGAAGCGCATCTACATCCCCCTGCCCGAGGAGCCTGCGAGGTCGGCCATGTTTCGCTTGCACCTGGGCAACACTCCTCACAGTCTGACCGAGGCAGACCTGCGGCAGCTGGCCCGCAAAACAGACGGGTACTCTGGAGCCGATATAAGTGTCATAGTACGAGATGCTCTCATGCAGCCGGTCAGGAAAGTGCAGTCCGCCACGCACTTCAAAAAGGTAACCAGTTATCAGCGGTTTCATCAAGTTCATCAGGTATGAAATAAATCTGTTCGGGGTGCAATAGATTGCAGTGGATCCGTGATCTCATCATAGAGTGAAATTTTATCGTTTGGACGTGTTTTGTCTTGCCAATTTACACATTCACAATTTTAAACGCGGAAGAAGAGGCGAAAATCGGGACTCGCGCGTTATCTGTGTGCACAGCCACCCAGAGAGAGAGAGACTGTTACACTGTTTATTTAAATTTAAGTTGTTATAATATTTTCTTCTAATATTTTGATGTTTTCTTTATTATTTTTCTATGTATTCCCAGCTTTGGCAATATTGTATTATTTACAGTCATGCCAATAAAGCACTTTTGAATTGAATTGAATTGAGAGATGCATTACAGATAAGCGCTCGGACACACACGCTCAAAATACCCGTCTCAATCCCCGTCTCGGCAAGTATTCTCTCGGTTATGTCATAAGTGAACAGTTGTGAAAGAAACCGGATGCTTGTCAGTTTATTCAGTCTTAAAGTGAAGCCTAATATTCCTGCTGATGTCTGTCATTAATGTTAATAAAACAATGAAATACAGCTTTACAAAGATGAACTTGTTTAATTTCTACAGTGAACAAAGGGTGTTATTTTACGTTTAGGATTAACGTATATATAATTTTTTTTTTTTGCTGACCTGAATAATGATCCGAACCATGGCTCAAAAACCGTAAATGATCCGAACCGTGAGTTTTGTGATCAGTTGCACTAGTTCCAGCTATAAGCAGCTCTATTATTCTACTCAATTCAAATCGATGTTGTTTCAATAACTGTCAATGTTGCAAATTGCGTCAATTATAAAACGACTTCAAAGGCAGCTCTGCAGAAGACAATAGTGGCATCATCCATTCAGTTCAGTTCAACATCAATTCAACTGATGGAATGAGAAGAACTGATGCAAAAGGATGATTGAATTGTACTATTGCGTATCTGGTTTGAGACCGCTAATGAATTAACAACACTGCATTATTGTGCTCTGCATTATTGCATGCATCAGAGGGGAAAATGACTTACTAAAAGACATAATTAGTGTGTGGCTTTTAAATGAAATGTTAAATCTTTAATATCAAACTCGGTGTTCTAGACCTGTAGTTTAAGGGTGTTCTGCTCTGTTTGCTCAACAGGTGCGAGGGCCATCTCGCAGTAACAGCTCTCTGATGGTGGATGACCTCCTGACCCCGTGTTCTCCCGGTGACCCTGAGGCCATAGAGATGACCTGGATGGATGTACCAAGTGACAAACTACTGGAGCCCATAGTATGCATGGTGAGATCAGTTACTTCTTTTCACATGTAGCATGTCTCTGAACTCAAGTCTGGTCTACTTAGCACATTAGAAGTGCTAATTATTTCACACATATATAACCATAGAAATTAAGGATGCACCGAAATGAAAATTCTGGTCCGAAACCAAAAATTCTGGATGCACTTGGCCAAAAATGCTTTTTAAATGAGCTTTTTTGTATAAATGTATTAATATTAGACTTTTTAATGAAATTCAATTATTCTATTCTATCTATTTTAATGACACTGAATTTAAAATGTACAAACCAATAAAAAAAGTACAGTGTGTTAAAAGTAACACACTAAAATTGGACAGAAAATATAGTAACTCTTTCCCCGCCAGCGTTTCTAACAAAAGTTGCCAGCCACCACCAGCGTTTTTGCCCATTTTCACAAAAATTCACGGCCCACAGAATATTTTGTTGTATGAATATCCAGTCCCTCCAGAAAAACGCGATTATGCGATCGCTGAATTCAATGCAAAATCAGCCAAAGTCCGCATATTTATGCGGGGGTCGCATTTTTTCAAATACTCCGCAATTTCGCCGCATAAATTGCTGATTTCCGCGCAAAATATGCGGGGCTTGCATGATTTCATAATCCCCGCATTTTCGTCGCAAAAAAGTCACATATATCTTAGCAGAAAGTTGGAAAATGTTGCGTTTGCTTCACACAAGAGCAGCCACTTCCCCCTGTTGCCATGGGAACGCTATGAAGTGACGTAATTACGCGACGTGAACATCATTGAAAAGCTGTAAAACAGGAGCACACTTTATTTTAAAATATTTCATTTATTCATTTTTACTGAAGTTGTAGCATATTCCTCTAGTAAAGCTACAGAACTTGTTTGACTCAGCAATGTTTTGTAAGTTTGATGTGTTTATTAAGGTCTTGTAACGCGTTGTGTCGGGAAGAAAAATAGGGATAGCTCACAGCTGAAGTGATTGCAGAGGCCAGACAGACTCACGGAGGCGATTGGCATCTCACAACTCGCACTTTATTCGCAAATCGAACTCGTAACTGTCTGTCACACGTTCTACCGTCCACGTCGTTACTTAATAAACAAAATAAGATAAAAGAAGTAGCATCAAACAGAAATTACCCGCACACATGGGGTGTTCGAGGCGCATGGCACATATAATACTGCAGACAGTTAGACAGGGAGCGCGCAGCTCTTAAAGGGGCCACACCTTATTTCCACTCGTTACAGTCTGAAATAAAACAAGATGAGAAATTAAATATTTCCAGCACTTTCTGTGATGTAGTATGCTTGCTTATCATAGGAAGTAATAAGAAAGGACTCTTTACATTAAGGTAGTAGCCTGGTGAGAACAGGGTGTTGGGGGAATCACTTTTTTTTCCTCTTTTTCATCAAACCGCAGTTTTTGCAAGTTCCCGCAATTTTTGCAAGTTCCCGCAATTTTTGCAAGTTCCCGCAATTTTTGCAAGTTCCCGCAATTTTTGCAAGTTCCCGCAATTTTTGCAAGTTCCCGCAATTTTTGCAAGTTCCCGCAATTTTTGCAAGTTCCCGCAATTTTTGCAAGTTCCCGCAAATTTTGCAAGTTCCCGCAATTTCATCGCAAAAAATTGCATAAATATCCCGCATATTCCATCGCATTTTTAAAGAAAACAGGCCGCGTAATCAACGATTTTTGCCCGCAACAATCACAAAAAAACTCCGCGTTTTTCTGGAAGGACTGAATATCTGAACATGCAATATATCAAAAGAAAGAACAGAACCTTTTCTTTTAAACTATAAAAAAAAAAATTATTCTAGCTTCATGCATTCTTTTTAATCAACACTTGGGGAAAAAAAAGCAACATTTTGAGCAAAAAGCTGAGAAAATCATGTTTTTGTCAAAGACTACATCCAGATGGGAATCAGAACGATAATCAAAACATAGATGGAGTAGATCGAGTCCATCAACACCCCAAAGCTTCACAGTCCTGCAGCTCGTCCTGGGTCGACATTTCATTCAGTAACATTCGCCGGTTTTGATTTTTATACGCCGTTTAATGTTGATAATCGTGTTATTTTACATATGCATATGATTACATATGATATTGCTCGTTTCTTCTTCTTCTTCGCATGTGTTTTGATCCGGAGATTCAGTATATATTCAGAAGATGTGTAATAGCGCCCCCTACCGTATAACACGGAAAACCTGAAAATTCTGTCAATGGCGGGGAAAGAGTTCATATTAAATATCAATATATTATTCTTTATTCAGTTCTATGCAACAGAATCAGATTTAACAGGTTATTCTTTTGACCAATTATCCAAATAATGTATAGTCCTATTTTTATGTGAGCAGTGCGTAGCGGATGAGTGAACGAGAGGGTAGCGTCATTTCACCAGCGTTGCCCAGCACGGCTAGACAGTGTGATGGATTTTCTATCCTCAAACCTAACTATTTTAGATTTGTCTCCCTAAGACTAACTATTCTAGTAGCTATAATTTATACGCTAGCGCGTCTAATGACGTTAGCTACGTTCACACATCAGCGAGTCTCCAGTCGACTACAGCATCCGTCTAAATCTCCAGCGAGTCTCCAGTCGACTACAGCGTCCAGAGCTGATAATCTAACTTACTTGTTCTATGCTTGTTCTTGCTGCGCAGCTTTAATGACAGACAGACTTGAGTAATTGTCCTTTAAATGTTCTTTATTACGGCCAGGAGTTCTCGAGCATTTCTCAGAGAATCTCCCAAGAATAAACAAGGCCGGAGGATCTCAGACAATTTCCATTGAGAATCCCCCCGAAAACACGGAAACAACAGTTTTTATACAATAGGGAGGTATGGCATAATGACATTAATTTGATTGGTTATTCCTTCTGTTACTGGGTAAGAATTTCTTAACGATTACTTCATTGATCACAAGTTCTAACTTAGTCATCTGTCTAGTCTCATTTCCCATATTTGTTATTTATACACACAGTCAGGGGTTCGACACACATACATTCATGTAAAATACAGAACGTCTTAGAACATTGTTTTAGAGATTTAGCAGGTTAAACAAGGTCAAATATTAAAACATGGTTTTCTTAATATTCAGCTTAAATTTTCCACCACAACAGACGGGCTACTGCAAACAGAAACAAGTCTACTACTACATAGAAATTTCATGTTGACGTGTTATTTGAGCAGACTTTGGCTTTCTGGCTCTCCAACTAAAGCTGGTGTGTGGTGAGCGTGAGCGCACTGGCGCCGTTGTACTGTGGCTGCCGTCGCATCATCCAAGTGGATGCTGCACACTGGTGCTGGTTGAGGAGAGAACCCCTGATATGATTGTAAAGCGCTTTGGGTGTACAGTAGTACATATGAAAGCGCTATATAAATGCCTTATTCATTCATTCATGAGCATGAGCGGCACATGAGTGGAGCTTCGCATGGGCCGTGAGCAGAATATTGAGCGGACCGCTAGCGCTGAACACTGAGGGGCGCCGTATATTTAAAGAACTGTGAACTGTGAAAGATCTCTTGACTACAGGCGTGCGATATGTAGTCTACAATAGTATTGCAATTGCAATCATTTCAAAAATACTAATAATAATTTCATATTTTAAAGTGCCCCTATTATGTTATTTTAAAGGTTCCTAATTTGGTTTTGAAGGCCTCCTATAAGGTTTACATTCATCCGAGGTCAAAAAACCCTTTCATTTTCTTATAATATACATTGCAGCATCATTTCTTTTCTCAGTGCCTGAAACACTTACTCTCTAAACCCCTTCTTTCCGAGAGCCTGCTCTGCTCTGATTGGTCAGATGGCCCAGTCTGTTGTGATTGGTCGACCGCTTATAGTACGTGTCAGAAACGAAACAATTATTTCATATCTGAACTTCTGCTCTTCCTCAGCACTAGATACACAGCGATACGAACAGTAACGATGGTGTCGGTTTAACCGGAGCAAATTGCACCAGTCTTATTTGTAAGTTCATACAAAGTGGATTTGCTTTCACAGTGCAGAAAAACTCGACATGATGAAAACACAAACTTTTCCAGGCCTCAGCTAAAACTACAGTGTTTGAGGAGGGTCAAAGTAGTTCACAGGCAGCCAGTGAAGACCATAAGCAGACATTATGCAAATCTTTTACACACCTGGGTTTGTGGAGGAAGTTACAGAAGACTGTCAGAATTACTGATGTTTCAGGTTTTCAGAATCGGTTCAATCAGACAATAACTCCATTTATCTGCATTTTGATGCTTGAAGACCTTTTACATTCACACACAACTATATTAAACAGCTATAAGGTAACATCCAAAAAAAACATAATAGGTGTATTTTAATATTCAAAGTTTTGTTTAAAACTTTAATCTCATAGCATTATTTATGCAATTGTAATGGAAGTGTAAATACATCTAAATGCCTTATATTCATCTTCTGTGCCACTTCTGCAATGTGAAAATACTTGTGTAAAGAACTTTTATGTCAAATTCTTACATTTAATCTACAAGATGATACATCTAATAAAGTTTGAAAATGCCCTGGAAATCAGTTTAAGGTGGCAAATACATAGCTAATTTATATACATGTACATGCGCTGTTGTGTAACGGAGTTTGTGTGTGTGTTTGTAGTCTGACATGCTGCGCTCTTTGGCCACCACACGCCCCACCGTCAACAAAGAAGACCTGCTGAAGGTGAAGAAGTTCACAGAGGACTTTGGACAGGAGGGCTGAACCACCAACCTCATGCTTTCAGCTCTAACATCGATTCATATGTAGCTGTCCCAACTCAACCCGGACAACCACTGCAAACTGAACAGCAGGAGCATGTGATTAACATCTCTAATCGCCCCACTCTAACATTAAACTGATTAATGTGATGTTCAGTAATCCAGAAGCATGAAGCTCACTGTAAGTTGTTTTGTTTACATGATCAAATTTGTTGAAGCGTTCATTTTATGAAGTTGTTTTGCGTGTCTGCCCTTTGTTTCGAACGGGCTGAGTATTTATTTTAATTTATTCTCAGTACTTTGGATTGTTTTGAGCTCCTGTAGTGACAGATCACTTTAAGCTTTATCAGTATCTATTGTGTCCAGCTCGGTATTGCAGCACTTTAATTTCTGAACAGATCTGGGTTAATCTCACCGAGACACTGCCTGGGTCACTTTCACCCCTCAATTAAAAGGAAGGAAATGTATTATTTATGCTGATGATTTTTATCTCTACATATAGAAATTGAAATTTGCTTTATGAAAAGTGTCACAATGCAAGAAAACGAAAAAAATCTTAAAAGTACTAAAATAGGCTTGATCTTTTTTATTCATATTGTAAGCAAAGAAAATCAAGCCTATTTTCCAGATTTGTTCCCTTTTGTGTCTGGGGTGAACACATTTGCCCTGGCCATGTGTTTGACAGCCTCACCATCAACATTTCACTGTGTGTTACTGATAGCTGAGGAAAACCACGCTGACCTGATAAAACATGACTTTTAAAACGATGTGTGCAGCTGTATTTACTTCAACCAATCCAATCTGCTTAAAATGGATAAACTGGTCTTCTAACAATAGTTGTTACATTAACAATTTTGATTTAATCAAAGGAAAATTTTCTCTGAACATGCTGTGTATGTTTTCAGAAAGGGAAGATAAAATGTTTCGGAAAAATGTAGAATGCTGTGAAGTAAATATACAAGAATTAAAGGGTCCTCATGGTGTTTTAAACCCATAAGACTTTGGCTAATCTTCTAAACACAAATTAAGACATTTTCCATGAAACCTGAGAGATTTCTGTCCCTTCTAATGAAAGTCCAGGTTACCAAAACTAGAAAGATTAAAAAAGTTTATAAAGGTGTCATAAAACGAATCCATATAAATCAAGTGATTCAATGCAAGTCTTGTGAAGAGATATGATTGATGTATATGATGAACATTTAATTTAGGCTTTTATTCCTGATGAAGACCTGAATGTTGTGCTGTTTATTAATAAATGTTTTTGGAGCTGTAAACTCTGTGCGAACATTACTCTTTTTTTATTCTTATTTACATACACATGCATACATGGAGCACATTAAACATGAAGCGTGTGTGTGCAATGAAAACCAATGAGGTTTGTCCTAGTGTGAGTGTGTGGTCTTTTAAAAAAAATTATTATTAATAAATGATTACATTATATCTGTTCATTAAATAAAGTGTAAAACCTGTACATATGAACATACAATCAATGCCTTCATAAGCTTTCTGGATTTGGTTTCCTGGACATTATATGACAGAATCTTCTCAGGTTTCATTAAAAATATCTTGTTTCGCATTTCTAAGATTAATGACAATATTATGGGTTTGGAATAACACGAGGGTAAGTACATGATAGAATCTTTAGTTTGGGATTAAATGTCCCTGTAAATGTGGTGTACCTATCCACGTATTCATTTTATGTGGCAACCAATTAGGATATTCCACAAAATCAGCATTCTTGCTGATACTGATATTGTGCTGAAGTTATTACATGTGTAGATGTATATATATTTGTTTTACTAGAAAGCATTCATGTGAAATTCATTACTTTCTGCCAAGCTTTATCAGAGAAATACATTCCATTACATATATCCAATTAATTCTGAGAATAAAGCTGCCGGGACACACACCGGATCCATCGTGTCTCGTACACTCAACCATACTTTTCAAATCATAGTTTTTCAAGCTCATTCTAGGCCATTGGTTTATCAAAACTACATTTCCCATGAATTATTCTGTTTCCTACATTAACAAAAAACAGGTTAAGCACACAATCAACCCAGCAAAGGTTACGTTTTTATATAAATAAATCACATTAGATTGTATTTAAAACAGTTTTTTTAATATTTGTACAAAAAAATGCAGCAGCATAATTTAAGTATAACTAGCTTAACAAGGATATTTGTATTATTTACAATGTATCTTGTGTCTGTAAGTCTGAACATGTAATTTGCTAAATACCTTACAGTATAAGAACACATATTTCCATTTGGAAAGTGAAGCTCGTTTGCGATATCTGACGCTGTCACTCATCAGGCTTTCAGAATATCATACTTTGCTTCTTTTGGACTGGCTTTCATTCACAGAACCACCCCGTTTGTTTCTGTGGTGAGGAAACGTGGGCATCAGCTCTGGTTCACACGCTGCAGACAAACAATACAGAGAAATGTGTACGCATTTTTTAATATTAGTTCATGTATTAGTAAATGTTTAAATTAACATGATGGCAGTCAAAGGTTGTATTTGTTAACATTAGTTAATGCACTGTGAACTAACATAATGAACAGCTGAATTTTTATTAACTAACAATGAGCAACAAATTTGTTACAGTATTTATTCATCTTTGTTAATGTTAGTTAATACATTAACAAATGCCAACCAATGAGCCCTTATCATAAAGTGTTACAGAGAAATGTGTAAAACTAAATAAGCCTGTACTTACGCAAGGGCTTTTCCTTAAAGTATGAACTTTCCAAACAATCTTTAGCAGTGGCTCTATAAGAAACAGTGCGATATTAAACAGAATGTAAATAGATGTTTATGGTCCTAAAATTATGTTTATGTGACAAAAATCATGTTCTGTTTGTCACTTATAGATTTAAGCTAATGTAACATTTAAAATACATTTCTAAATAGAAAAAACACATATCTGATTAAAAATAAAGCACCCTAAAATAGTTTTTCCACGTGTCTACTGTACCTGCGCTGTGGGTTGTACATGAACAGAAGGTTGAGCAGTCTCAGACCAGCTTCTGATAACCAGGTGAACTTGTTCTTTAAGTTGTTGTAGGGCTGCTTCCTCAGACTGTACTGCCCAACCAGAGGTAGACGCGAGAATCCCTACAATTCACAACAAACTCCACATTTAAAGACCCCCTGTGGTGAAAATCAAGTTTTTAATGTTGTTTATATGTCTATGTGGTGTTTTTAATATGCAATATGCTTTAAGACAAACCAAATTCATAAGTCAACAGCATTGCTGAGTATTTTCTCCTTAAAACTGCAGTGAACCAAAGACCGTCTCAAAAACGCGGTTTGAAATCGCTGGTGTTTCTGACGTCACAAACTACCTTGTATCAGATCAACGTGCCGGCGGGCTTTAGCATATCATTACTATTCTCTGAAGCGGTGGAGTCTCAAGAGAACCAGTTTATCCTGGTGTATTTTTCTGTTGATATGAAAAATCGTGTACATTTACCAATATAGCGGGAGAATTATGTAAATGATATATATTACCAATATAGCGGGAGAATTATGTAAATGATATATATTACGATGTTATGATGAACTATGGCTACGTTCACACTGCAGGCTGAAACAACCCAATTCCGATTTTTTTGCCCCATGCGACCTGTATCTGATCTTTTCATGACAGTCTGAACGACACAGATCCGATCTTTTCAAATGCGACCCAGGCCACTTGGGTATGTGGTTCAAATCCGATCTTTTGAAATGCGACCTCAATCTGAACGGCCAGGTCACATGTATCCGACCCGCACGCCATTGATATGCGACAAACGTCATAATTCTGCATTGAAGTAGGCGGGAATGAGAAGATAAACAAGTTAGCTATTGTACGATAGCACGCACCTGTAGCTAGCCACTACACTCCAACGCGTTGCACTGTTATGGTCCGCCGCAGACGTGTCTCTTCCCGTGACAGAGTTAATCGAAGGTGCTCAAACATAATCGAAGGTGGATCTGGTCATTCGGAAGTTACTGATGAATTCTGTATTAGTGAAGCCACTCCGCACTCCGCACCCACACAAATAACTTTAATATTGCTAAACGAGCTCCACTGTTGACATTCACGTTTAGCTACTTCCGCAAACAGACGTCGTTGACCGTTGAGTACTCTTCTGCGCATGCGGGTCACTTCTGGGTCATTTCACGTTCACACAGGAGATCACAAAAGGTCGCATTTAATTGGAAATGTGAACGCCTTGCAAAAAAATATTTTTTTTTCAAAAAATCGGATTTGAGCATTAAGCCCCTGCAGTGTGAACGCAGCCTATATGCCTTTTCCCACTGATATTGAGTGTTTCTAACGATGCTGTTTTTTAGAAGGCCGCTGTCCGACTCTGAGATGGTGAACGGGAACATAGTTTGTGTAACATTCGCAACACATTATTAGCTGTTTGATAACGCTAATTAATATGAATAGCCTTTTGCTTGAATACGTTATGTGTCCGACGTTGTAGAGAGCGATACATAAAACACGTTACCGTTCTAATACATTGACTAGTAGACAAGGCTGAATAATTCACTTTTCCACTTCTTCTGATTCAGTTTCTGGTTCAAACATACAGTATATGGTTAAATTAAACCAGTATTTCCACTTGCCGTTGTACAACGTTTACTATAGTAAATTTGACAAGAGTGGATCTCTGAACTCGTGTGATTGAGTGGCTCATTTGCATAATCATGAATCCGCGTATACTAAATGAAGCAATTACCCAGCTAACAGGGAACGTTCCCAGAACATTCACTAACGTTCTTTAAAAGTTGTGTAAATGTTAGTACAAAACGTTATTAAAATAATGTTTTCGGAACGTTCATATAACGTTATTAACGTTCTTGTAACGTTGAGAGAAAACGTTCTTAGAACAATGTTCTTGGAACGTCTTTATGACGTTATTTGTGATTGATGAAAGTTCTCATTACGTTGATAGAAAACGTTCTTAGAACAATGTTCTTGGAACGTCTTTATAACGTTATTTGTGATTGATGAACGTTCTCATTACGTTGATAGAAAACGTTCTTAGAACAATGTTCTTGGAACCTCTTTATGACGTTATTTGTGATTGATGAAAGTTCTCATATCGTTGATAGAAAACGTTCTTAGAACAATGTTCTTGGAACGTCTTTATGACGTTTTTTGTGATTGATGAACGTTCTCATTACGTTGATAGAAAACGTTCTTAGAACAATGTTCTTGGAACGTCTTTATGACGTTTTTTTGTGATTGATGAACGTTCTCATTACGTTGATAGAAAACGTTCTTAGAACAATGTTCTTGGAACGTCTTTATAATGTTATTTATGATTGATGAAAGTTCTCATTACGTTGATAGAAAACGTTTTTAGAACAATGTTCTTGGAACGTCTTTATGACGTTATTTGTGATTGATGAACGTTCTAATTACGTTGATAGAAAACGTTCTTAGAACAATGTTCTTGGAACGTCTTTATAACGTTATTTGTGATTGATGAAAGTTCTCATAACGTTGATAGAAAACGTTCTTAGAACAATGTTCTTGGAACGTCTTTATAACGTTATTTGTGGTTGATGAAAGTTCTCATAACGTTGATAGAAAACGTTCTTAGAACAATGTTCTTGGAACGTCTCTATGACGTTATTTGTGGTTGATGAAAGTTCTCATAACGTTGATAGAAAACATTCTTAGAACAATGTTCTTGGAACTTCTTTATGACGTTATTTGTGATTGATGAACGTTCTCATAACGTTGATAGAAAACATTCTTAGAACAATGTTCTTGGAACGTCTTTATGACGTTATTTGTGATTGATGAAAGTTCTCATAACGTTGATAGAAAACGTTCTTAGAACAATGTTCTTGGAACGTCTTTATAACGTTATTTGTGGTTGATGAAAGTTCTCATAACGTTGATAGAAAACGTTCTTAGAACAATGTTCTTGGAACGTCTCTATGACGTTATTTGTGGTTGATGAAAGTTCTCATTACGTTGATAGAAAACGTTCTTAGAACAATGTTCTTGGAACGTCTCTATGACGTTATTTGTGATTGATGAAAGTTCTCATAACGTTGATAGAAAACGTTCTTAGAACAATGTTCTTGGAACGTCTTTATGACGTTATTTGTGATTGATGAAAGTTCTCATAACGTTGATCGAAAACGTTCTTAGAACAATGTTCTTGGAACGTCTCTATGACGTTATTTGTGATTGATGAAAGTTCTCATAACGTTGATAGAAAACGTTCTTAGAACAATGTTCTTGGAACGTCTCTATGACGTTATTTGTGATTGATGAAAGTTCTCATAACGTTGATAGAAAACGTTCTTAGAACAATGTTCTTGGAACGTCTCTATGACGTTATTTGTGGTTGATGAAAGTTCTCATAATGTTGATAGAAAACGTTCTTAGAACAAGGTTCTTGGAACGTCTTTATTACGTTATTTATGATTGATGAACATTTTCATAACGTTGATAGAAAACGTTATTAGAACAACATTCTCAGAACATACTAATGTTATTAGTATTTTCTGAATGTTATATTTAGGCTATCATAAAACGTTCTGGGAACATGTTATTTGCTGAACATTCTCATAATGTTAAGTACACTTGATGAAGTAAACAGCATAGCTGACTTACAGATTCAGTTAACATCCACAAATGAATAAGCGCGACGATTCAGGGAGCAGCTATACAGTGAACTCTGAGAAAACGCTTGAGCAAACAGTGTGTGAATTGGTTACTACAAATGATGGCAAAGTGCCCGTGCAAAATCAGTTGTTGATTGTGTTTTTAGTAATTGTTGGTTTGGTGTGTTTGAGTGCTCATTGTTACAATTACACAGTAAAAGTTCAGTGACATTTTTATTTGTGCATGGTATAAGCAAATACAGATACTGACATAATGACATACACATAGTTTTTGTCAGAATGTTTATTTTTAACGATATCTTTTGCATTTCTAATCCAAACAATGTCAAACTTGACACTGCACTTACTCATGCCCGTAGCAAGAAACCTGTCAAGTTTGAAATCCATTGGACAAACAGTTCGAGAGATGTGTGGTTAACAGACAGACAGACAGACAGACAGACCTTTCTGTAATTTATAGATATGCTATTCACATTATGTGAAGCACTGTTAAATATATTGAAATACATTTTGAAAATATATTATTTCAAAAATACATTGAACATAAATCTTTTAAATTGTTCCTCATGTTACATCTGTAAATGTGTGTACATATTGTGTATTTTCTTAAAATATATCCATGCCTTAAATCATGTTTAGTTTTTAATAAATGTTTTTTGCAATTTTATTTCTACACCACGTTAACCATTTATATAAAGCTATATAATATTATAGCCTATTATAACCTATTATATAAATGACTTTGTGGTAAACATTGTTTTACACTCAATGCTTCATATTCTCATTCCGTTTACAGTTTGGTGATGGCCATGAGCCTATACACTTAATAATGTTAACCTCACATTTCAGGATATTTTATCTGATTATCAAATAATTCCCTCGATCAAATCTTCTTTAAATGCAGCGTGACTTCTACATTTTTTAATATGCGCGCGCACTGAACATTCGAGTTGCATTTGAACATTTGAACTGGAGTTACCATGGAAACGGGCGGGAGCTCATCTTTGGCTCAACTGACGACAAGCAGCAACTCCGTCTCTCACTGTTGGTTTCGCTAATTTCAGGTAAGTTTAGTCCCCAAAATTACACAAATAGTACATAAAAATGTTTCAGACACATTCTTTCATGGAAATAACACGCTTCCGTTGAATATTTACTTTATAGAAATGGTTTAGTGTCTTCGGGAAACGTCCGTTAGCATCTCAACTGTTAGGCTAACGGTAAGTTAACTAACTTAGAGGTGACGTTAGGTTGACTAGACTTTAGCTGTAAGTTTAGGCTTTAGGCTTTTAATCTTGATTCGAGGTTTTGTAAAGGTTTTAAATGCCATTTATGCCTAGTATTAACATGAATGTCACGCAACCGCTTAATTCACAGGTAACGTTAAGTTAACGTTAGTTTCAAGTCAGTTGAATCAACGTTTTATATGAATATGCTCTTTTAATTTGACGTTAAGCATACAGCCGCACACACAT